TAATTATTTAGCCTGACATGTTTACTGCTCCAAAATATTTGATTTTTTTTAATAAAATTGTGTTCAATGGGGAAACAATTTTTTTTTTACCCAGACAATTAAGAGCAGTGTAATCACAAAACTGTCATACCATTAAACCGTGATACTTTTACGTAATTATTAATCATGTTATCATATTTCAGAGTCTTACACCCGCCCCTGCTTATGTGAACAAATAGGCTAAACAACATGTAAGAACTAACAATCTGTTTATTTCATTCATTAATCAGCTCTATTTCTTTCTTATACGCATTTTGTTGTGCTCACTATAGTAAAATTTAAACAAATATATATGCAATCACAAAGAGACCATTAAAAAAGGTCTCCTCAACAGCAGTTGCCATGTTGTCGGACATCACATGACCTGCAGAATATATCAGATGTCGCATACTCCAGGTTATTAGACTTAATAAATACATTTCATTTCATCAGTTAAAATACAAGGAGGCTAATATAAAACCCTAAACCAAAAAATAAAGAATGGTAGTCTATTAATTTTTATTTAAATAAATGATATACCTGTAAACTGGCTACTGTACGATGTTATCCGCTTAAGGTCAAAATTGAAATTAAACACCATATTGCGAGTGAGCAAATGGCGTCTACGGTATGTAGTAGCCCTCTGTGAAGTCTATCGCTAAAACTGCGCTCTTATTTGCCCTCACACATCTTATAGGCTAAACGTGTCGCACACAATCCACTTGTTACACCCAACAGTGTCTGAAATAGGATTTGCAGAAGCAGGCCCGGATTAAGAACTCAGGGGCCCCTGGGCACATTATCTTGTAAGGCCCCCTACCTGGCCGCACCCCTATAGTTGAATTTAAAAAATAAGAATAATATAATAATTTTTAAATAAAATGAATCTATAATTTGTTGCCCACATATTTAAATAAATGATATATAGTACATATGTATTTATAGTCTGCAAAGATTTAAATTATTTTTCAAAGCATTAAATAAAAATACTAATAAAACTACATATTTATATATATATATATATATATATATATATATATATATATATATATATATATATATATATATATTTTTTTTTTTTTTTTTTTTTTTTTTTTTTAAGGGTAATTTAGTGTATTGCTTTTACAAACTTATAAAGCATATTATTGCCATGGCATATAACGCACAATGCTTCTCCAATCCAGTTCTATGAATCTGAGTCTTTCATAATACAAACACTGATTTACTGTCTCTCTCCTCCTCTCCCTGTATTTTCTCTACTCTTCTCGTGATAAAGACTTGATTATAAACCTAAAAGTATCCGAAATCACAGACACTATACCTCTTCTCTCCCCTCTCTCTCCTCTTCTGGGCTTTTCTCTCTCCCTCTCTCTCTCTCTTTCTCTCTCTCTCTCCCTTTCTGTCTGTCTTTCACACGATGAATCCAGTCCGCGCTGCGCTGCCGTTAGCCTCCTCCGCCTGGTTTAATGCTAGCTTCTCATCATTTAAAGTTACCATAACGTCTTCTTCTGTACCCTCATTCTCCTGATCACGGGTCTGTTTAAAGAAGGTGTGTATGGAAAATGCCCTAATAAAGATGCCTCCTCTCCTCTTTCTCTCGCGTTTGCTAAATCCACTTGTCCACTCATTTTTGATCTATGACAGATATAACGTTACACTACAGTCCGCTCAGTTTAGTGCGGGTTATTACAAAACTGACGTTTCCGCGCTTGACCAATTACAGCATTCTGTTTAGTTAAAGAAAGGCAATTTAAATATAATAATAATATTAATATTTGATCGCGATTTTTTTGCTCAGAGGAAATACAGTTGTCTGAGCAATAGAGTTTTTGAAGAGAGGGAGGCGCGGCAGGCGCCTTTAATAAGGCTAAACATTATTAAATACCCACCAGACACTTGTGACTTTATATCACATTTGCATTATTTTTTTAAAAAATGTTTCCTTCCTGTTAAAAATAAATATATTTCCAATCTGATATGTAACGGGGAGAAAAAAAAAGTAGCACGAGTTCAGCTGATGGTGGATTCGAACCGAGTTCATAACTAATCGCGTCAAAAGATGATGCTGTGTGCCTTACAAGGTGCGCCACTGCGGCTGTAATGCTAAAAAGCTCTTTACTCATCTTGTCTCTATCAATCAGGCATCGATGGGCGTAAACCCTGAATAGCTTATTCTAACTAGATGCGCTATTTGCAATTAGCCAAAAAAGACACTCCGAAATTGTCTTTTTTTTCTCCCCCCTCGCAGGGGCCCCTAGTGCGCACGGGCCCCTGGGCCTGTGCCCATAAGGCCCATTGGTTAATCCGGCCCTGTGCAGAAGGTAACCTGATTAACGAGTTAGCCAGCACTGGTCGAAGAGTCATCATGGCTTCACCTCTGATCCACTGACCTCTCTCTCCAGATTAGTCTGCTTGTTTTTCGGACACGGAGCACCTCTGATCTCTGGACCATCATGATGATGTGCTGTTCAAAGTCTGGTCAACAGCGCGCTCTTCTGGTGCAGAATGAAGCATTTCACTATCCATTGCTTCAGGTGGAGAGAACATGCTTTATATGACTGCTTAGATCAGGGGTGCCCAAACATCTTCTTATGAAGGGCCAAAATCCAAACTTGAATAAGGATGGTGGGCCGAAATTAAATATACCAAAAGTTACCAATACCAAAGTTGCCATGGTATTTATTAATATTCAAAATACATTTAAAAAAAACTTTAATCATATCAATGATACATATAAACATTGCATTTTGCATTGTTTACATTAATGTACTTCTCACAATAAATCCATCCCATTCAGAGCACAATGTATATATATATATATATATATATATATATATATATATATATATATATGATGGGTAAATGCAGGTATGCGTAAATAAACCAAAATCAAGAAACCGCTTCGCTTAAAAATTCTCAGATTCTCTGGATTTGCATGGGTTTGAGTAAAATGTTATTTATTTTATTATATAGATGTCTGCAGCCTGGTTTTAGAGGGACTTTGGCTTTTTCCAGGCTGGGAGATGACCAGCTAAAACCAGCTTGACCAGCCTAGCCAGACTTGGAGCCCAGAGAAAACCAGCTATGTCCAGCTTAAACTAGGCTGGTCAAGTTGGTTTTGGCTGGTCATTTTCCAGCCTGACCAGTTAAGACCAGGCTGGAAATGGTCAATACCCCTCTTAGACCAGTCTGATCAGCCTGCTAAAATCAGTCAACCAGCCTAGGCTGGTTTAAGCTTAAGTTTAAGTTTTTTCAATAACACTAATCTAATCTAATTCTAAAAACAAATAGTTTATATTCACTCATTTATTTTATTATTTATTAATGACAATTTAAAATAAGATTTTATTTTATTAATTTTTTTACTTAAACAAGAGTAATTCCATCAAATATTCTTTTTTGACACATTCCTGATTTCAAAACATTGTCTAGTTCAGAAAAAGGTTGAACACTGTCTGCATGTTTATCTTATTAGTCCAGTGGATGGCAGTATATCTTTTATAGTCGCTAAACCACAAAAGGGGAAGAAAAGCTGTGTTGCCAAACCCCTCTAAAATAAACGCAATGAAACAGTCTTTTTAATCATTTAAACTGGGATAATAGATATGGTGGTACATACAGCAAAAGTTTTTTCTTACTAAAAAGGTAAAGGAAATATCTATTAAATTTGTACATAACATTTACCCTGTTGAAAACTTATTAAAAGAAAAGATTTGGATCAGATTTTTTGAACAACGCTGAAAATCTTCCTCACTTATTTTGGTCATGCAGCTATGTGTTCCCATTTTGGAAAGATGTTAAATTATTTATCTCAAATATTACTTTACAAAAGTAATTATTTATGTTTTGTTTGTTTTTTATACAAATTTTAATGTCTGCTTACTTTATAAAGAATCTTATTCTATTTTATCAAGATTTTATATTAATTCTTGCTGTGAGGGTGACAGCGAGCAACCTATTGATATTCTTGATTTCTTTCCTCTTGTTTTTTCTTCTTTTTCGGTATTTATTGGCACCTATGTAAATATTCAAATGATTAATTTTGTAATTGGTGTGTATCAAATGTATCTTTCTGTTATACAGTAAATTTTCAAACAATAAAATAAAATTGATAAAATAAATAAAAAACGAATGCAAGGTGTCATGGGAAGTTTACCTCAAAATGACATTTTGTTAGTAATTTACTCACATGTAGCCATTTAAAATGAAGGTGAGCTTTTTTCTACAGTAAAATATTGACCAAGATTTTTAGCTGAAACTAAAAGTCAATGCCTTTGAGAGCAAAAACAAAAACAGGTCAGCAATGCATGTGGCTCCTGATGGTACATTGTGCATCTGTGAAGCAAAATTATCAGTCTGTACATCCAAACAAAATGGTTGTTCCCATATTGTAAGGAAAAACAGGAGTAATCTAGCTTTGCCTGTATATGTTTTTGATTCTTCAAATGGTGAATAACGCTTGTTACATTTTATGAATCACCATGAAGCACACTTTAAAATCACTGTTAATTTATTGAGAGTAAATTAGAAGCAAACCTTTAAAATAACTGGAAAGTTTCTTTACAGTCATTTTGGCAGCTAAAATGCCTCAAGATTCTCTCAAACTGTTGTAATATATATTATTATTATTTATTTATTTTTTAACTTCTGTTAAATTAGTTTTCTCACACAATCAGAGATTCAAACAGCTTCCTCTTAGAAAAATAAAGTACTGCTGTATGTTTAACAATGGTGCTAGTTTGTAACTTGAGTTTTTTTCTAAATGTAAAATAAAAAAGGACTTAAATCAGTGGATATGGCAACACCGAGAGAACCCCTCGTTTATGAAAGCGCCGGCTTTTCTCGCGTGAACACGTTCCGACGTCATACATCTTTGCGTAAATCGGGAGAACTGCAGAGCGATTTCACCTATATTACAGTACAGGACGTGCTCGTTCATATAGTGTTTTATCTTTTATGCGTCCTCATTAAACACAGATATCATGGATATTATAGGACTCGGCAACGGCTATTTGAGGTGAGTCCTCTAATAATGCATTCAGTGTGCTTAATTATATTCTGCAAGATACTGGACGGCTCTATCTCAAAACCCAGAGAGCTGCCTACCTAGACAGCATCACAAGCGCACATCATCACCAGGTTGTCTAGGTAGACAGCTCACTGACTTCTCGCATGCATAGATATTAGATACATTATTGCAGCTCAATAATAATTCCCAATAGAAAACCCAGAACTAGAGCTCTTCACCATTGCTACCTTTTGGAAAACGAGCTGGGCCAAAGTGAACTGGCCATTTTAAATGTTATGGCCATATGGCCATGGTCTGATTATGATATATAACCCTAATAAGCACACGTGCTGTTGAAATCCAAATTAGGTTATTAAAAAAAATATTGCTATGTACAGTTTGTATTTATATATATATATATATATGAATATATATATATATATATATATATATATATATATATATATATATATATATATATATAACAAAGCATATAAAGCTTTAAATGAAAATATATAACAATACATAATACAATATACATATGGTATGAAATATTTAATTACTTGTTAAAATATGAAAATTACTAAAGCTGAAATAAATTATGATTTAAAATACCAAAAAATGAAAAAGCACATACAATTATTAAAATAATATCTTACACTACAGTCAGTGTAAAAGTTTAAACATAAAAATAACATAGCATTTAAAATAGTGATTAAAAAACTCTCTGTTAATTAACTATTTCTACGGAGCGACACCGTGGCTCGCTCGGGGGTTAGCACTGTCACCCCTTTTTCGCAGCGCAGCAAAACAGAATTTTGCATTATCAAACTCTAGTGTGATCGAAGCTTAAAGCTTTTAATATTAAACTTCATTTGTCATTTATTCTGCTGTTGTTGTACTATTTACACTGACTAGTCCATATTAAAGTGTTTCTTTAGCCATTATATGACTTGATTGGGCTTAAAATGATCACTTTACACTTCTTTTGTTGGAAAAAGCGAGTTATCCTTTTAATAGCAAAGGGAAATGGCTCAGATACAGTAATCCAGACTAATTTAGAATAATTGTGTTGTCTGGGCAGGATGGGTTGTGCAGAGCTTCTGTTATAGCTATTTGCTCTGTGTGGAAATCACCGCCACCGTGGAAGAAAACGGCAGCTCATGGCACCAGGCCTACACGAACTCGGGCTCCAGCCCCCTTCCAGCACCACCTGAACACTTGTGCAAGGCCTGCGGAGGCCAGTTTGACACTGTAAGAACGGTACGTCTGCTAAGATTGACTCTGCTGTTTGTGGAAGATTGTTTCTGTCATATTAACAAAAAAGAAAAGATAGTTGTGAATTTTTAATCTCACAGTTCTGTTTTATTTTGTGTTTACCACAGAATCAAAAATAAAAGCTATATACTAACAAGTTAATTCCAACTTTCTCTAACAGTTCTTACTTTTCTCTTGCTGTTGCAAGTATACAATGCAATTCTTTCCCCTCTCAATTCTCTGTTTTATATCTGCATTACTTTTTGTTCAGCTCTAAAAATATTAGAATAATTTGAGTTTTTTTGTCTGAATTCTGTTTTCTTCTCACTTCTTTTTTCTACCGAAGAATTAAAATGCTTTCAAGAGTTCACACTTAGATATTGCTTGACAATATTAGCAGGTTTGGCATGCTGTTCCGGGAGAAAACCCTGAGTTCAGAGATAATTGCGGTCAGGGCTTCCGCCTGGTCAATGAGTATGTAAAAGGTTACAAGATCATTCTTAAGAGCTCCCTGTGGTAAAGGAAAAAATGGGGAGATGGGGTGGATGAGGGGATTCTTCAAAAAATGAAGATAAGGCTGGATGGGCTACCTATAGTTTGGAATAATCCAATTGGCTTACTAAGGATTACAGATGAGAGACCAGCCATGATCAATCATATCTTGTGCTCCTCTTGAAATTAGTTTGTGAATTTTCATTTAAAAAAATTCTTAGAATTTTGAGTTTACATCTCGCTTCTATTTTCTTTTAACTTATTAAAAACCTTTCATTTCTCTTTATTTGTCAATTTGAAATTTTTATGACAATTTTGACTGATGGTTTTTATTTCAGTTTTTCTTTGAATTCTGAGTTTTTATCTGAGTTTCCTACAGAATTATCTATGACAACTGACATCTGCTGACAATTCTGACTTTTTTTCTTTTTTTTTTCATATCTCAAATCTTTTTTTTTATTGTTGATTGCTGATTTATCTCACAATTCACAACAGGAAAAAAATTCAAATTGTGAAATGTTTGTGTATATGTACGGTATATAAATGTACAGTTAAAGTCAAGGGACTTTCTTCAAAAGAAAAAATATTGTAGGAATTACTGTGGGCAATTCCTTCGTCTGATAAACATCACTTACAATTACAATTTTACAGAAGGGCGAGAGTCATTTTGCCTTTAACTGTACATATATTCACTGAAAAAAAGAAAATTGCAAAACTGTAGCAAACAATTTGCATTGGCTGAATTTAAAGAGATAAAATTTAGTAATGTTCAACTTTATTTGTTTGTTTAAATTCAGCCCATATAATTTGTTTGCAACATCTTACCTTAAAACATTTTGTAAATCCAATTTTTTTTTTTATTATTTTATTCCATTGTTCTCACAGATGTGTCCATTTTTGTTTATCGTATAGCATGTCTGCGTGGACTGCAAGAACAGCTTCTGCGGCCGCTGCTCGGTGCAGGCTGATCTCCATCCGCGGATGTGCTTCACCTGTCAGCGGCTTCACTGCACCTTCTTTGAGCGGGCAGACTTGATGAGGCTGAAGGTGAAGGACCTGCGGGACTATCTCCATCTGCACCAAACCCCCACGCAGATGTGCAGAGAGAAGGAGGAGCTGGTGGAGCTGGTGCTGGATCAACAGGCTCCAAGAGGCAGCAGCGGTGGTGGCGCACAGTCCCGCTCACAGCCGTCACAGCCTCCTCTAGCTGAATCTGAAGCCCTCACAGAGGAAGAGGATGAAGACGAGGAGGAGGAAGATGAAGAGGAAGAAGAGGAAGAGGAAGAAGAAGAAGAAGAGGTAGAAGGAGGGGATGGAGCTGTAGATGGAGAAGGAGAAGAAGAGGGTGAGGAAGAGGATGAAGATGATGAGGAAGAGGTATGAATGTTACTAATATTCTGAGCGTGCCTCACACAGGTTATTGGGCTTGGCAAAACCACCTGTAGAAAACACACTCTTTGATCTCTCTGATGCTTTGACACTTGCATCACTTGCATCAGACACTTTCTTACAATCACTCTATATCTTTCTAAAAAGGTGAATGAGATTGACAAACCACCTCTTCTCCATATATAATAATTGAGAAAAAGCACGCCCATAGCATGCCTAAAGCACAATGATTCGTGGGTTTATCAATTTCATTGCAGTCGTGACATATATGGCCCAGTTCAGGCTCATTCAATTCATTCATTTATTCATTCGTTTTCTTTTCAGCTTATCCCCTTTATTAATCAGGGGCTGCCACAACGGAATGAACCGCCAGATTATCTAGCATATGTTTCGCGCAGCAGATGCACTTCCATCTGCAACCCATTACTGGGAAACACCCATAAACTCTTGCATTCACACACATACACTACGGAAAATTAAGCTTATCCAATTCACCTATAGCGCATGTCTTTGGACTTTTAGGGTAAATCGGAGCACCTGGAGGAAACCCAAGCGAACACGGGGTGAACATCCCACATACTGTAGTAAAATATCTCTGGCCCACACAATCAACTTTTGCTTGGGCTAAACAAGGGCTGTGTTTGCAAGGGCTAAACACAGGCCAAATCTGGGCCAAGCAAAAGCAAGTCTCAGCCAAGTTAAAAATCCATAACTGAGCCTGAATTGGGGCAGCACGGTGGTGCAGTGGGTATCGCCTCACAGCAGGAAGTTCGCTGGTTTGAGTCCTGACTGGGCCAGTTGATATTTCTGTGTCACAGAATGTGGGATTCTCTGAGCACTGCCAGATATTTAGTATAATTGTTGAATCAAAAATTGCTGAATGCCTCTTTGACCCTACAAAAGTGTCTGCTAAATGTAAATGATGTAACAACAGTATTGCTAGACAAAAAAAGCTTTTCTCATTAGTTTTTTTTTTTAAACATTAATTTGGTGGTGGTTGATTCAGTGTTGGTTTGTGAAGAAAGATTAACTTTTTCTGGCTTATTGCAATTTGATCCTTCAAATAAAGAATTATGGGATGAAATCCACTTTTTGCTGAGTATTCATGTAAACTGATAATGGCATCTAATGTGAAGGCAGCTAGGAGACATTATCAGTATATAATGTTAAAGTGACAGCAGACCCTAATAACTCACATTTTATGCTGTTACTTTTAATCAAATAATAAAAGAACAAAAGCATTGCTCTGGTCTGAATAGTTAGCTTTATTAACATATGTAGAGTTCATTTGCTCTATATCTGTATATCTGAATTTTGTGACTGTTTTTGAGCACACCAGCTATTAATTAGTCTTAACAAACTAAAAACTATCTAAATAATTCAAACTAAATGTTTTATTTTAATTTCATGGGACCTTAAATACACCCATGCACCTGAAATATATGAACACAGCCTCATTTAAAATACGTGCTTAGGCCTACACTTTGTGAAACCTCAAAAACATACTTAAAAATTAATTTGTCTTCAGTTTCAATGTAAAAAATAAATTCTGCAGGGCAGTAATATAAAGAAGTGTGGTTCTTTTTCACAATAATGATATTTAAAGGGACATATTATTGACAAAAATTATTATTTTCATGCAGCTTTTTTCACAACACCAAAGAGGTAAATGTTATTTAAAATCAAGCTAAATTTATGTTCTGGCAGTGACCTTTTCTATTGCTATTGGTTGGGTTTAAGGAAGGGTTCAGGTCTGTGATCTGAAGAAGCTCCACCTTCTCGTGGACATGTACTAGAAGGACGTGTATCTGAAACGTTCAACAAAATGTACGACTCAAATTTTTTACATTTGCAAAAATGTAGACAGTGCTTTTTAGTGGATTTTTCATCTTTAACATTCCCAAAACAACATGTTTTTTGTTTTGCAGAACTTAGGCTGAGGCACATATTTCCAGTAAGCCTGTACTGCATAGAGTATTCACTGATCATTTTTAGAAATATCAATAGCATTTGTATTCAATCTTTTATTGCTGAAATCAAATTGAATCAGATTCAATTGAGTGGTGAGCTTGTGACTCAGAATCAAATTGAATTGAATCTGAATTGATCGTTGCATTTTCTAATGCTATTATGTAATATCATTTATTATAACTGTGCTTGATGCAGTCGACAGACAGTGAGGAGACGCTGGTGCACAGCAGAAGAGCCTCTCTGTCAGATCTGAGCAGCGTGGAGGACATCGAAGGCCTCAGTGTGCGGCAGCTAAAGGAGATCCTGGCACGCAACTTTGTGAACTATCAAGGCTGCTGTGAGAAATGGGAACTAATGGAGAAGGTCACCCACCTCTTTAATGATCAGAAAGACCTTCACAACTTGGGTATGTTTGTCTGCATGAACGCCCTCACAAACAGATATTATGAAAGTCAATGGTTAAAACTGCATTATGCTTTCATTTCATGCATTTGTCTTTGGTGGACACTAGGGGCGTTCCTAGACATAAAGCTCTACTGGGGCACGGCACCCTCAAACCCACACTGTATATTTATTAGTCTTTTGATTAATAATACAAAAAAATAAGTAATTATAAATAAATGTATTATTATTATTATCATCATTCATTCATTCATTTTCTTGTCAGCTTAGTCCTTTTATTAATCCGGGGTCGCCACAGCGGAATGAACCACCAACTCATCCAGCAAGTTTTTGCGCAGTGGATGCCCTTCCAGCCGTAACCCATCCCTGGGAAACATCTACACACACATTCACACACACACACTCATACACTATGGACAATTTAGCCTATCCAATTCACCTGTACCGCATGTCTTTGGACTGTGGGGGTAACCGGAGCACCCGGAGGAAACCCACGCAAATGCAGGGAGAACATGCAAGCTCCACACAGAAACGCCAACCGAGGCTCGAACCAGCGACCCAGCGATCTTTTTGCTGTGAGGCTACAGCACTACCTACTGCGCCACTGCTTCGCCCATTATCATCATCATACAATTATTCTTCTAAATAAATAACAGAAATAAACCCTACATGTAACTGGAAAACAATGTAAAGACACAACTGAAGTGATATGCTAAGATCATTTAAGAAGTCTGCATGAATAATAATTTTATTAGTATTAAATACTATAGAATACAAAAAAAAGTTTTATAGAATCTGTTGTCTTAGACTTGACACATGGTCAAGAATTTATTAAGTTTTACCTCTCTTACTAATCATACCTGCTTTCTACTTCATAGTAAAAAAATCTATCAAGAGCCATGCTGTCAAATTAGGATCGTCATCATATTATTTAAACTTTAGTTTTGTCAATTTGCAAAACTCACTGCATGCCGACACTTCTTTTATGACGTTTTCACAGTGCAAGAGTGGTGCGTACTTTTTCAACGTGCATATCAACAACCGGGACTCTCAGCGGGAACAGAGTAGCACGTCAGTTCAGCAGAAGCGCTGCGTAGGGCACGAGTATGGTTTTCTGCGTGCAGTTTGCTTTTTGATTAAACTACATGGCTTTCACCAGCGTTGGTTTGGATGCACATAGAGAATAACGTCTTTATTCTGAGATTACCACTCTTAATAAATACACTTACTTTTAAAGTAAATAATGTCTGAAATTATTTACTGGGGCACTGGCAATCTTTACTGAGGCACATGCCCTTGTAAATGGAGTCTAGCGACACCCCTAGTGGGCACCCAGCATTTTGGGGAGACTTGAATAATTCAGTAGCTTCTTTCACTCTATAATATCAGTAAATATCTATAAAATAACCAGAATAACTTTACTGGTAAAAAATATGCATGTTAATGAACATTTTCCAGAAAAGTATGTATGTGTGAAAGGGTCTTGTGACATTATAAAGATGCAATACTCTTGAAATTATACATTTGAAATGACCAACTTCTATGGCAATGGTTGAAACGTTTGTCTCGTTGACCTTTATCTGGAGAACCGGCTGCTGGAGGGTTTCAGTCACTCTAGGACGGCTCACCAAGTCAGTTAAATAGAGTTTGTCAGATAATTACTGACATTGTCAGCAGGTACCAGAATAACACTAATAACTGAGAGATTCAACCTTTTAGAAGGTTTTCTAAAGGTTAATGTGACACTGAAAACTGGAATAAGTTACATTAATAAGTTAAAACATTATAGTAGGACTTTTTAGTAATAAAAAAGAATTTAAATTAAACAATATATTAAAAGTTTGAAGTGTCCATAATATGAAAATAAAAGTAAATACATTACACAACACATTCAGTACACTGTAGTTTTACAAGGTATAAATGTAACCTAAATTGCTGCAGTATCTGTTTGCTGTGATACTTGAAATTTACTGGAACTGACATCCTTGCTCTTTCTTTTACTTTCAGTTTCAAATACAAATACAGAAGCAGGTATGTTTTATCACTATCATTGTGAAAAGCTGTAGTTAGAACTATTTTAAAATGATAAACTTGTCGCATATGCTGAATCTGTCACCATTCCTCCAGCTGATCCTGCGGAGCCCAGCGGACAGGAGGAGAACCTGTGTAAGATCTGCATGGACTCTCCAATTGACTGCGTGTTGCTGGAGTGTGGACACATGGTCACATGCAGCAAGTGTGGAAAACGAATGAACGAGTGTCCCATCTGCCGCCAGTATGTGGTTCGAGCCGTGCACGTCTTCAGATCGTGAAATTTGGGTGCAAAGACACAGATCGGCCCCCTGCAGGTTGTTTTCTGATAATGTTCCATTTTGCCTCTTTGTTTATCAGTTTACATTATTAAATGCACTTTTTGTTTTTTTATTGTTGCAATGGTGCGGCTTAGAAGTTATTTGCACTTTTATTTAGGCTTTGTTTTTTTTATTTCCATAATACAACATTTTTATTTCACGGTTTCTATTTCATTTCATGGTTTGGTCATATATATATATGAGCAAACAATGTTTAAAGTTGTATTGAAGACACATGTTCATTGGAAGTTTACACAAAAATGAAACCTTCCTGATTATTTACTCACTGTATCAATCTTTCAATGACTGTTGCTGTAAATGCAAATGAGATTGTGCTACCAGCCTTATTTTAAAAAGAGGACGGAGCTACAAACGCTTATGCTTTAGCATAGCGGCAGATTTAAAAACAGGAAGAATGCTATCTCTGTGAAAAACTGAAAATGTCAAAATAAATGGCTCAGAAGAAGGCAGTCTATGGGGACAACAGTGCTCATTTGTGCATTTTAAAACTCAAAATGCTTGAATGGTGGATGGCTGCTTCTCACTCTGGGCTGTTTATGCTAATGAGGGAGAGATCATCACTAATGGGCAGGGCTTTCCCCCTCTGATGACATGTACTAAGGAAGAATGTCAATCAAAGTGTTTCTGCAGGCAGTTTTTATAAAGTGTGATTATAAAAAATATAATTAATTACTTTTTACCATTGGAGGCTGGCTATATTCACACACTTCTGCCATACAATTGTTATTTTTAACAACAATATGTTAAAACCTTTTAGTATAAGTGAATATAAATACAATACTCAACAAGTTTACATAAAACAATCAGCCACATAACACAACTACAATCATTTAATACACAATAACAGAAACAGTATTAATGACAGCACACTAGTCTGTTTTCTACAAACCAGCTTCAAATTCTACCGATTATTTGTCCGAAATATACCCATATTTGCATTCTCTGGCAAAAACCATGACATCTCTCCTCACTAATGTAATGTTCTGACCTATCATGAGATGTTTCAAACACAAAACCACAAACAACAGTCTGATGCAGTGCTGACATCTTGTGGACAAACTAAGCAATGCAAAAAGGATTCAGAGTACATGTGCGAGCTGCTCAATACATCATATGCATAGTTAGAACAATTGAGTTGTGCTCATGCAGTAAGCAGGTTTAATAACATATTAAAAATTATATTCATTATGATTAATGATTGAAAATGCAGTCTATTGATTTCTTAATTAAAAAGCACATTTCTTACTTCCTGCGCATGATATTTCAATCAATAGCCCAGGCATTTAAATGGCATCAAACTGAAACACAGAAATCTGCATTCTTATATATTTATATTAGCGCTGGGTTTTAGTATCCAACCTTCCTTGTAAGATGTCATAACCTAAAACTGGACTGCAAAACTCAACCAATGTGTGCATTTTTTAGTTTTTCATAAAAATTTGTCCATGACTGTGAGAAAATAATCAGCAATTTGTTTTATTTTTGGGTGAGCAATTTCTTTATGAGCCCCAAATAGTGTGTCTATTTGTGTTACCAACACAGTATTTACCAGAGTGGAATAAACTTGGAAATTTCCAGGATGTGAAAACAGGGTAAGAGAGATCATTTTATATTTTAGTTGGAGCACTAATTCATATGTTTTGTCGTCATACATGTATATACATAGATGCCTCATTAGTGGTTGTTTTTATTGGCTGCTATATGTAAACTATCTGCCGTTTTTAATGTGACCACTCCGATGGTCGTTCCACATATGTTTAAAATATGACATAAAGTATTGGTATGCGTTTCTAGTGAGTAGGTGCTATTTCCCAGGCTCTTCTAGATGACTTGGGCAGAAACAGTTGCTTCCAAACTGCAGACAGAGAAACTTTCTTTCTGGCAGGATATTTGCTTCAGTTAATTTCTACTTTAATCACAATGGTGTCTAATTCTCCACCAATACTAGTACTTCTAAAATCAGTGTTAGTCACAAGGTGCTCATTACTGCCTACATAACTGTGTTAACCTTGAAACATTTTAACAGTGATAAACTTTAAATATCTTATACATTTTTTCAGGAATTGTATCTTCAATTTGAAACTTTTTAACAACTCACATTTACTGACATGATTACAGTGTTTTAACTATTCACACATATGACAACTGCAAGTTTACGAATGTATCACAGTTATGGTTATATAGGAACATTTTCATTTGAAAACTTTGTTTTGTTTTATGGAAAACTGATGCATATCCCTGATTTTTTTTCTCTCTCTCAAACTGAATGTAGATGAAAATTCAGTCCCTCTTGACATTTGCATTCTAAAATTACAGATTTTTGACAGTAGCTTTTCTCAAAACATATGGCATTGTTTACTAAAATTCCTCTGTTTTTCTGTGAAAATACACAAATCTTGTAAAACTGTTATTTTCTTGATGTCAAAAATCATTGTATTCGCCAAATACTGGAGGGACTGAATTGTAAAAACCATCTGTTAACACAGATTAACTTACAAAAGAGACATCTAGCTAAAAAAATTGACTTTGACAGGATATGCAACCTGTACATATCTTTTTGATATCTTTGTGTTTTATGTATTTGCATATTTATCACTGAAACAACTACACGATGATACACGATTACCCACTGCCATTGTTTTACTCTTCACTGCAATATTTTAGTCAGTCCAAACCCAAAGCTCTCAAAAAAGATTTTTGCTGCTTGTTCAAATGACTTATTTAAAATAAAATGAGCTGTCAACACAATTCTTGAGTTTTTTGGGAACAACTTAATTGTTTTATGTTAAATCCATTAAAAATTGTAAAAACAGTTAATTTTTAAGTTATTTTATCCGATTTATATTGGGACAACATGAATAAATTGTTTGGAACAAGTGCATACGCTGTAAAAAAATGCTAAGTTTCACACAATTGGTTTGTGTTGGGACAACATGAAGGAATTAACTTTAACTTATTCATTTTTTACAAATTGAAGTGGATTGAACATAAAAAATGGGCTACATGCACAGCTAGTGTTTTTCAGCCAATCATAAACTTCTGGTGAAAGCTTAATGTGACTATTTTCAATTTCATAAAGTTCCTTTTACAACTTCGATGTTGCACTGTAGTTACAATACACTCAGTTAAATAGACTTAAGCATTCTTTTAGTTGTTGTAAAGACATGGCGGGGGAGAATGGAATGTAATGCAGTACTGCTTGTCCGATCTGAGACCCACTTTACATTGTATGCATCAGGCAGGGAAGATCACTGTTTTTTTTTAAGAAATAAGACTCTTCATGAGTTCACACTTAGATACTGTTTGACAACTTGTTAGCAAGTTAGCAGGTTTGGCATGCTGTCACGGGAGAGAACCCTGAGCTCGGAAATAGTTGAGCCCAGGGCTCCCGCCAAGTCCATAGAGCATGTGAGGGGAGTACGAGATCAGGTGTTCTGGAGAGCCCCCCTTGGCAAAAGAGGAAAGGAGGAGAAGGGGTGGATGGGGGGTTACTTCGGGAAAATGAAGATAAGGGAGTAGTTCTTTGCTAGGTTACTTATAGTGAGTTTGGATCGATCTGATTGGCTAGCTAATGAGTGTAGATGAGTGGCCAGCTGCAGTCAATCATATCACGTGCTCCTCTCAAAATTAGTTTGTAAAACTTCATTAAATGTGGCAATTTTATAATGAAGAGACAGTTCACCAGAAGTGTTGAGGTTGGCTGGGCTGAAAAGTCTGTGTGCATATACCCCATTAAGTTGTCCCAAACCTTAAGAATTGTGTTGTTTTAGCTCATTTTGAATAAGTACTTTAAACAAACACCAAATATATTTTTTTTTAAGTGTGGACTTTCTAAATTTCACAGAATATTCTAAAAAAGTTGATGGTAAACAGAAACCTAGCACAAAACTTGTGAGCAATGAGCTTTCATAGCTTTCAATTTGTTCTGTTTTACAATTAAAAAATAAACGGGCGATAAGAAATTAACGTTTTAAGTACCGGTACACCCTTTTGTCAAAATCCATGTAATTTATGTTATGTAATAGCAAAGGTGCCCAAATATGTATGTGTGTGTGTATGTGCCAAGTGGAGTTATATCCCTTGAAACATCAGTAGGTTGTGTTGCGGTGTGAAAATCGAAATATCTACATGAATTTTGTGATAATAAAAAGATAACGTTAAATTAAAACTTGTGTGAAAATAAAATAGCACTATTTGGAAGCTAATGTGTATTTGCAAATATATCTACATTGAATGCAGCACTGAGAAATTATGTACAAACAGAAAAATGACCGTTTAGACAAGTAAAACATTGGATGTGTATCTAGACACGTATTTATGAATTATTAAAAAAAAAAAAGCATACAAGGAAAAAATAAGCTCTGCATGTATGAGCAATGGAGGAAAAGATAAAGAGAAGTACTATTGAAAGGTGCTTAGAAATGCTTGAACAAACTTTTTCTGGGTGAGTGGATCCTCTGTAATCACTTTTGTGTATATTCTTTTGTAAATTGTTTGTTTTTAGATGATTTGAACTGTGACTTTCTTTTGAACTGTATGAAATATAATTCAAATCAGCTGATAACTCAAACTCTGTTGCAGGTGTGGTCAACATTTATCATGTAACTAGCATGTCAGATTGCCAATATTGTCTTCAATATGCAGTGAGCCTGATGTGCTATCAATGCTGTATTTCTGCAAAACGCTACATTGGAAGCTGATAAGGTTTATAATTATTGACAAATTTATATATATTTTTAAATTTTGTTACTCTATATGGTTGTTATTGTGCAAATATTTGTTTCATTTTTTGTATTAATAAACAAACGTACAACAGCGAAGCATTTGTCACATGTGATTTACTTAAATAACTGTACGATTTTGATTTAAACCTCTGATTTCAAACGGATAATTTACCAATCATTTTAATCCTGTCATCATTTACTCCAACTTTGTTTTAAATATTTTTGCACTTCTTTCTTCTGTTGATCACAAAAAAAGTTTTTTTGAAGAATGTTGGAAACCTGTAACTATTGACCTCCATCATGTTTTCTTTTTCATATGGAACTACATAGTTAAATGTTTTTTGCTATCTTCAAAATATCTACACTACCTGACAAAAGTCTTGTGGCCTATGCAAGTGTTAGGAACAACAAATAATAACTTGACATCTAGTTGATTATTTGGTACAAGAAGTGGCTTAGATGAAAGGCAAAGGCCTCTAGATAACGCTTATTTTACCAAAATAAAATGTGATCATTCCCTGATTTTTTATTATTTAAT